ATGCATGGTTAAATTGTGTGCTGCACCTCACTTCCTCGATCATAACGTGTGAAATACCTTGCATGCACGGTTATAAAGCGTGCCGTATCCTGCGTGCACGTTTGGAATGTGTTCAGCAGACGGTGGAGCCTTTCTCAGCAGAGCCTCTCGCTGTGCAGAGCAGCAGCAGAGCTCAGTAGGTGATGGTGATACACGGTGAATGTGTGTCTGATTAGAATCACCTCGGGATCTTGCAGCGATGCATCCATGTGGAAGTTCTCCATCTGCTCCAATTACTCTCCATAAGCTTTAAGAAGTGCTCGTAAGAGAATCGTCTTTAATCCACTACCTTCACTGTGCAGAGAGCAGACACCGTTCACTGGTGAAACTCGCCACTGTGACAAATTCTGATTGAAGGTGTTTTCATCACGGGAAAGGAGGAGGAAAAAGGTCCAGCTCGGCTCTCCGGCTCAGAGTCTTGGAGATGTAAAAGCTTCGCCTCCTCGGGTCGAACAGTTTGGTTCGTGGCTTTATGCTCCAAAAACAACAGGATCAGGTTTCATGTGATGTGATTGAAATTCAACATCGAGCAGGACCTGTGGGAAACACTTCTTCATGTGTTTAAATAAGAGCTTATCTGCCTTACATTAAACATCTCATGAACTCCTAATGTGCCTCTTCCTGCTTCAGGCGTGTCATCCTTCAGGCTTTATTTACATCGCCCGCTTTGACCTCCACCAGGTTTGCATAAACTACTTTAATCACGACCATTTCAGCTGTTATGTAAGATTTCCCCTCAGGTAAAGGTTCATTAGGAGTTCTGCAGAAACTCTCTGAACTGAGCTGCTCCAGCACATCTGCAGAACAGTTCAGATGACGGTTCAATCGTCAGTGTTATTGATGGGAGGTAAAGACAGTTCATGTCTATCAAAAGTGAAGCCAAAATGTCGGGACGCTAACATCCGGCGTCTTTTCAAAATAAAACACTCCGTGTTTCAGGAGGATCGTATTTCACACCATGCAAACGGGCGGAGACGAACAAGTGAAAGGTTTTTAGACGTCATTTCACCCCGATGACACCATGGATGAGGAGATGCTGATTCTAGAAGTCTAGAAGTAGATTTCCTCCTCTGGAAGGACACAATCTACTGCTTATATGTCTATGTGTCTGTCTTTAGAGAGACAACATGTTATCGCGCGATTGAACGTGAAGCCACAGGTTCTTGAGAGTTCTCTTGATTACTGTTGACCGTAATCCGCCACAAAATTTGCCCGATCCGATAGAAATTGGTGTTCCAGATGTGGTGAAAATGGGGGTTTAGTCTGACCCCTCTGCGCCCCAATCAGGTGCCTCCTAAACAGGAAACCATAGTCCCTCTTCTGATCGCTCTGCACCAAAACACTGTGGTCCATCAGACTCGGATGTTCCAGATCTGAGATGCTCTTCAGAGACCGGTTTAATCCGTCGACCACGATTTGAATCCACGGTCAGACTCTAATTAAACAGCTCAGATGGAAAAGCAGACCCACTCTTGATCATGGCCTTCCTGGATCCCAGCAGCTGTCTGTCCTGATGGTCTCGGTGGGCCGGAGGTGTTCTCACATGATGGAGGAGGTCGCGGGGAGGTCACAACGCTTCATTGAGAAAGACCGAGTTCAAACCAGCTTTAGGGGGTCCAGTAATGAGGAGGACTCGCTCTCAGGCACGTCATCAGACAGCTGAGTTCAGATTAGAGGCTCATGGGAGGAAGTGGAGCGTGGACTCGAAGAGGTCCAGTTCAGGACTCAGTTTGACCTTTGTGACCTGCGTTAATGAAGACGGCGATCATAATCCTCCAGATTCGTTTCCACTTTACGGAGCGTGTCTGTCTGAGCCTGAGGACAGCAGAGTCGCTGTTACTGTGGCGGTGTACTTTTATTTCCCATCAGCCCAGGCTTTTGTTTTTTTTGAGTCTTGCTCTTCAGTGATTGTGTTAGCGAGTGTCTCTGCACAGCTCCCCCTGCAGGTGCTAACAGGAACTGCAGCAGTCCGAGCTCACAGCGCTGCAGAAATCAAGAGACTGTTTCTCTCTGCAGACGTTCTTGTAGGTCAGGACCTCCTCTGACACCAACACTCTGCTCCTCCTCTCTCCATGTCAAACACACCTCTGCGCCTCCTCTCTCCTCCCTCCTGTACTTTTTTATCAGTGCATCACTGAAACGGTCCTCTGTCTCCACCCCTCTCCTCCTCCCTCATCAGGTATTCCCTCCACAGAGCTTGCTTTGCTGCTCTGGCCCTCAGGCATTGCTTCTCCTGCATGATTTATTGTCGTCCCTGCTGCTCTCAGCGCCCCGCTCCTCCTTCCTCCCCTCCTTTTCCAGCTTCTGATGAGAGGAAGGAGTAAACGTCCACCTCTGGGACGTCACTGTGCTCTTTGTAAAGCAGCTCGCTGTTTACTTCGCCGACGTGAAGGACATGAACAGCGTCTCCTCGGAGCGTCAGTGTTTGTTTTCTAATTAACTTGTCATTTCTACTCAAAAGTTGAGTTTGTAAAACGAGGAAATATTTCCCGTAAACTCGGAGTATCTGGGAGAGTTGGTATCGAAAGTCAGGCTTGCAGAGAAAATAGCGTGGCGTGCCCAGGGAGGGAAGACAAATTAATTAGAGGAGCACCAACCAGTGCCATGGCCGGGCTCGCCAGCATGTTTTAATCACTAACAGTATAATGAGGAAGGGGCACTGAGAGGCATGAGAGGGTTCTGCAGTAATCAGGGATGAGAGCGGGTCCAAATCCGGCCTCGGATAAACTCTTTAAACTGAACCTCAAACTCAGAGCGCCAAACATCAAAGTGTGACATGAGAGGGAATTCTGAGGAGGGCGCCATCTTTCACGATCATGTGAGGAGTCTGAGGGGGGCGCTCACACCCGGAGCAAGTAAAATCATGTACCCCCTTAATCTGCGCGAATCTAGATGTGTGAATGAACAGTATTTACTCGCTTCGTTCACGCGTCAAATCTGAAGAAAAGAAGTGGATAGTCGTTTATCGCTAATTTCAACGTTAATCCCTGCCAATTCAACCGGCAGGATCAAGTGATAAACGTTTTTTTAGAATTTACGAGATAATCCGACCTCCTCACTCACTCACCTCTGGACAAGCACCTCGACACAATCAGTTTGTCCTCCATTTTTGACACCAGTGAACAACCGTCTGTTTTCATACATCACTCTGCAACCTCCGTGCCGATTGGTCATCACCAGCGAATATCCGTTCAGGTTGAGACATTTTCAGCTCCCTCCCAATTCGCATCATTTGCGCCGCCAGAGTAACAGGAGCGTCTAATCGCGTCTTTGCATTAGTTTAACGTGTAATTCGTTCACGCAAATAGTTTTACTTGTGCCTGGTGTGAAGAAACAGTGAGAGAGACAAAGCGGTCCAAACTGTGCCTGAGTCCACTTCACCCTGGAGTCCAGTTTGTTTGGACCTTTTTCTGCAGATGAGACAAACGCTACTCCTCTTCTCTGGTGTTTTTGTTACGGGGGCGTGGCGCACAGGCACATGCATTATCCGATCATACTCCGACTACGCTGGTTACATGGTAGAGAAAATCTAATTCCAATCGCATTATCTGGGTGTCTAAGTTGTTTACATGACCTTCAGTTGTACGGTCTTAATCGGAATAAGGCGATAATTCAGTTTTCTTGGGTGTCATGTAAACATTCTGAGTGGTTCTGTTCCAGGCAGGTCCAGATCAAAAAGGGTTGGTCTGATGGGGGTCACCAGGACTGGACTGAACCTGTTGAATAATGTTGTGGCGGTTCGGCCCTCACGTGTCCTAAAACATGTTCAGAAGGTCTGAGGAGCTGCAGAGCTCCACAGCTCTGATTAGAAATGATTCAGCTGATCCTCTGAGAGTCAATGAAAGCGAAGAGAGATGAATGAACACACTCGAGCTGCAGCGCCACACGCCAACGCCAGCTGGAAGATATCTGGAGGAGAATCCATCCTTTGGCACGGTGCCGTCTCCGACAAAGCAGTCTGGCAGAGCGCAGGATTAATAACAATCCGGAGGAGTGGGTGGTGGGTCACAAAGGATTTCAGCGCTCAGCACTTACTATAAATGTTCTCCTTTTGTCTTAGAGAGACTAATCTCTTCATGGCGCCATTTGTTCCTCCTGCTGCCAGCGTTCAACCTCGCCACTCTGATAACAGGACCGGCTTTAGCCACAGGCGCCCACAAACATGCTCAGCTCACTGGGTTATGTCATTTCAGTTTCATTTCACACATTTCAGAGGAGGAGGATGATGTTTAAATATGTAGTAAACAGGCCGCGTTCATGTCCTTCGGTTACGCCGCCATTACTCAAAGCTTTATCCGTCCACTCAGTTCAGGACGCTTTCAGATCTATTTGTGCTAATGAGGCTAAAGAGGCAGAGAGCCATTACAAAGATCATCTGTTGGTTTTTAATTACTCTCTTCCAGCTCTCAGAGGGGGTCTCTCTCTCTCTCTTTCTTTTTAACCTGCTTTTATTATTCTCTCTCTTCCTGCTGAACTATCTGGTCAAAATTCACCGCTGATCCTCCTCCTCCTCCACGACCCTGCAGTTTGAGACACACAGGAGAAAAGTTTTCCAATAGAAACACAGCAATATAATTTCATATTCATTTCAGTTTGAGTATTTTACTGGAGCAGATGTGCTCTGAGCCTGGGTTTAAACAAGACCCCGGGGTTCCTGCTCAAAATGAAAGATTTAATCTGAGGCTGAAGGAGAGACTTTTCCGGAGCCCTGCTTTAGTTTATGAGGCGCTGAACGTGGAGGAAACTGTTTGAACCAGCGAGTTATTTTTAAAGTTGCTGAGTGGATTCACATGGACTCGAGGATCCTGGTCATGGTCAGACTTTTGTATTTGAGTCATAGCCTGTATATACTACGGACAACTTGGCTCCGCCTTCTGCCAGTATACGGATTTAAAACCGAAAAGTTCTCAGTAATCCACGATCTTTCTTCATTTCCTGAAACAAACATTGCGCAGTAGTCCCCGAGAGTCGCTGTGATGACGCTCGGCTCAAACAGCGTATCCCCCGGGTGAGCTACGCAATCTCTGTACGCCCATAGGCTGTATCAGGTGTCAATCATAGAAAACATGAACCCCCTAATAACTTTTAAAAATGGAGCTGTACAGAAAAAAAGAGGACTTGAGCACAAACCAGTCTGACAGTAACTACATGTCAACATCACAACCAGGGGGGAGATACATTTATATTCTGTGTCATTCATTTATAAAGTTTGTCCACAGCTCCATAAGGAGGCGGGGTTTATGACCTATACTGCAGCCCGTCACCAGAGGGCGCTGTTCTCACAGAGAGGAGACAGACGGCGTCCGTTCTAGATACAGTCTATGGTTCTGAGTCATATCCTGGATAAGATCAAAACCAGAATCCTCGAGTCCATGTGAACACTAACTGGACAGGCGCATTAGACATTAGACTTGAGTCAGCTGTTTGTGAAAATATCGACTTTTTATAAGACTTAAAAAAAGTTGAACTCCAGGCAATCATCTGACAGCCAATCAGCACTGAGACACTATGTCAACAAAGAAGTTCATTCACGATAATGAGCACACTCCACAGTGGAAACCATCATCACCACCTGTTACCAAATTACAACAGGACATAGATATAACAGCAGCCGCAGATGTATGTTTCATTAGACGTGTATTTCATGTGTGTAAGAGTCATGTCTAATTTATAACGTGTGATTTAATGGAGGGTCTCTGAAACCGTGTGGGAATAAAGTCATGCATAAACAAGAGGAGCCATGAGCCCGGAGGCTGAGCATTAAATATGTAAAAATGTAGGAGCGCAGAGCTTCTGTTAAATCTGTCCTGATGATTTCTGATGACTCCTTTAAAAACATCATCATTACAGCAGGATTCAAATGAGACCCATTCACATCCACACTCATGAACATTATCGAGGCTTTTACTGTTCCCATGTGGTTTATCGTCGATCTCAAACATTTTACCACAGCTGGGAGAAAACCTGCGTACATACATTTAATAATACACAAATCTGGATACTCTGCAGTTCTCCACACACATGAAATCGAATGGAGGCCAGAACAAAAAATTATCATTTTAAATGTAAGTGAAGTATTGTAAACAATAATATAAATAATAGATCACAGATGAGTGGCGTGTTTATGGGGGCGGGGTTAGATGAGAAGTGCGTCCGGAGAGGAAAATTTAAACAAAATCTTGACCATTCTCGGCTATGCTAGCGTCAGCTGACAAACGATCTAGCCTACATCCTAGGATAACTTACCCATCATTTCCACCACATTCGGAACAGCTATGAAAAGTCTGTATCCTCCAATCGTAGCTGATCGTAACCATTCAAGTTAACGTGTCAGCTGTGTAGTTATGACTGTTGTTGAGCTTCATGAAGGTCTTCACAGAGGAGCAGATCCAGGTCTCTGTGGGGTATTCATGCATAGATAAGTATCTGGGTTATTGATAATGAGGGATCTGATCAATAATGACCCCCAGGTTGAATCCAGTTCACTGAAAAACCTCTCAGTGTCAGAGTCCAAACCAAACCTCCATCTTCAGCTTCAGCTCAGGTCACGTTTATTCTGAGATTTAACGGTTTGATTTTTCCGGTTCGATTCCCGCCACCTCCTTTATGAAGTGGGTCACACAAACAGGATATCCTGTGAAGCCGTTTGGAGTGTGTAAGTGTGTATCTCTCTCCTGACTGTGAGGTTTCTTTTTATAGCCTCCTCCACACATGCTCGGCTCACAGTAACTGCAAATTGGATTTCTCTTTCGCAGGAAGTCTCAAACTTACTTTGATGTCTCCTCATTGAGTTACCCTGCATGAGTGCAATCTAGTGATCCGGCGAGGACGGGCGGGCGGGCGGGCGGGCAGAGAGAGTAGACGGAGTACCAGAGGAGGTGTGTGGCGACACATCAAAAGCCTCACTTCATCCAAACAGGAGGACTTCTCCTGCTGATCATGGGGAGGTCACGCTCTCTGGGTGGAGATCAGGTTTTTTGGAAAAATGAAGATTTGAAGCAGAAATAATCTGATTGGCTCCTCACAGTGAGAAGGGTCCGGCCTTCAATGTGAGTCCTGCTGTTCAACTGTGACGATTTTTTTAAACCGATTCGATCAGGACATCTGTTTGTGGTTTTAGGCCCCAGTTTGGAGTTCTGGTCAGCTGACCTGTTTTATTAAAAACTTAATGTAAAACTTTGAACGAAGAAGTAAAACAGATAGAAGTCTCTTTATACCTCACACCTGCTTCAATGTAGATGTTAAAATGTCCTCTGAGTTTGAGTTCGCTCATAAAATTCACATTTCGATCAATTTTCATCAATTACTGATTAAAATATGGAAGTTTGACTGTAAAGAAGCGACTGTCTCTGCACACCTCTAGGTGTTAGTCAGGTGTCTGGACCACATCCTGGTCTCCACCTCTTGCACTGATTTCACACTCTGACAGATTCTGATGATGAAGTTGAACATGATGGAGATATTTCAGTTTGGAGTGACGGATCAAACAGTTTGGATCAGAACCACCGGAGAGTAGAGCCAAACAAAGCTGTGTCAGAGACAGGCTAGACGTTGTGTTATTCCCACGACAATCAGAGCTTTCAGGTTTATTTGCACAGCTGAGGTTACTTTGGTAAAATAATGATACCTGAAGAGAGAAAGCTCCACAGCAGATGCACAGATTAGGAACAAAGCAGAGCTGAGGCTTCAGGAAGTTTCAGGACTGATGAGGAAAACTTCTGACAAGAGACAAGGCTGCAGCTAGAACCGGTCTCATCATCAATGACCCAGAAGCTGGAGTGGACGTGTGCCCAGGACAAGCAGACATGAGGACCACTATTGGGTCCAGACCTGAAGTCAACACAAAGGTCTGACTTTGAGGCCAGTAAAAATATGTTTTTACAAAGGTGGAGGTCAGGAAACCAGTCAGAGAAAGAAGAACCAAACCAGGAGGATGGACTAGGATTCTAAAGGGGACCAGAAGTTTGATTCTGTAGACCCTGGTGGTCCTGCCTGAAGTCCTCCAAGCTGCTTTCTGGGGTTAATTTCACTAAGGGAGAATAAAACCACAAAGATTCACTTTTACCCCCAATTTCCACCTTCATCCTGATCGTCTCCTAAAAGGTCGTATCCTCCGATCGTAGCTGATCGTAACCATTCAAGTTAACGTGTCAATTTACACCGACTTCTTTCCGTTCTTTTCTTCTTTTCTGCGGATCGCCGGACTCCTCAGCTGATCACAAGAGTTCTATTTTTTCTGGACGCTGGAGCATGGCGGATAAATTCAGCACAGATTAACCCGTGCTGGAAAGGAAGTCGGGCACAGACACAAAATAAAACATCCGGCTTCTTTTCAAAATAAAACACTCCGTGTTTCAGGAGGATCGTATTTCACACCATGCAAACGGGCGGAGACGAACAAGTGAAAGGTTTTTAGACGTCATTTCACCCCGATGACACCATGGATGAGGAGATGCTGATTCTAGAAGTCTAGAAGTAGATTTCCTCCTCTGTAAGGACACAATCTACTGCTTATATGTCTATGTGTCTGTCTTTAGAGAGACAACTCGTTATCGCATGATTGAACGTGAATCTGCGGGTTCATGTGATTTCTTGCGATTCCTGCTGTCCGTAATCTGCCACGAAATTCGCCTCACAAACATTGGCGTACATCAAAAACCGCTGCTGTTCCGGATGCGGTGGAAATTCTGCGTTAGTCTTTGCAGAAACGAGCGGAGCTTGGTTAGAGATGTTAACCAGCTTTATTCAGTTTGCACAGAGTTTAGCTAACTGTCTTGCTAAGCTAACTGTAGCTTCCTTTGTGTTTTACAGACGTGATGGCGGTGCCATTCAAACAGGAAGTTTCACTAAGTTTTCTGCAGTTTAAAAAAAGGATGTCATTTTCTTCTTCTCTTGCGTGGTTTCAGATTCACACCCGCTGCCGCCGCCACAGCTGTGGTCCCTCCTCCATGTTTGCAGAATGAACACTTCCACCTGTGTTTATTTGCCTCTGCTCTCGGAGCTCCAGCCCACAAATATCCCACATCCAGCTCATAAAGGCGGCCTCAGCGGGGAACTTTCAAATAATAAAACAGTTTAGAGGAAGCACTTTTATGGAGGTGACTGTCACTGAGGGAACTTAAGAGTCCTGCTGCTGCTGCTGCTGCGCACAGACGAGTGTGTCGACCTTCAGTGTGTGTGTGTGTGTGTGTGTGTGTATGTGTGTGTGTGTGCTGCAAGGAGGAGGAGGAGGGGGAGGCCCTGCAGCACCATTAAGAATTCCCCCCGGCTGCAGGCTGCTGCATTAGTATGGATGCTGAGTTTGTGCGAGTCGTCTATTCGTGCTGCGACCCTCGGCTGCTGTCAGGTACGAGCCGCCTTTATCCAGACGGGGAGGAACGGCGAACGCTTAACAGACGGGAAGTTCAAAAAAGTAATGAGAGCTGTGAGAGTGTGAAAGTGCTTCCTCATTGTGTGGACACCTAACAGGCCTGTGAGCCCGCCCCCTCCAACACACACTCGCTCCTTTAAACACACTATCACTTCATCGGCCGCTTCATTCCCATTCAGAGCGCTCAGTGCTTGCGGGTCAAAGCCCTGATTGTGTGGATGAAGGCAGAGACGGTGTCTTTATTGTGGAGGAGGAGAAGGGGGGGCGGGGAGGCTTCCCTCGGGCTGCTCCTCTTACATCACGGCCTGCAGGCTGCAGCACAAACAGACTCTCAGCAGCTCCTGTTGGACTGAGAGGAGCCTGTGACGGGACCATGCAGGTGAGGAACTGCTGCTATGGATGCAGAGGTGCAAAAATGAAACACACGAAGACAGAATCAAGCTGGCAGCCTCTCGCAGGATTTTTTTTTAGTTACAGCATCAACCACAACTCATGACAATCTTGATAAATGAACGGACCAACAGACGGACAGTAAAAAAAACCCAAAATCCCCAGAACTGCTCCTTCGTTGCCTTCTTATACCACCCCAATGGCGTCATTAGTCTAAAGGTCCTTACACACCAGGAACAACGCAAATATACCACACAAAATTACGAGTTGAATTTTGACCCACCTGACTATACACATCAAGCCCAATGCAATTGACATCGCAACAACACGCAATCTGATTGGTCAGAAGTGGACACTCAGTATGCGAAACTTTAGAAAAATCGACTGTGATACATCCAAAATAATCGCACGAAAAAAATGCTCCCGGTGTGAAAGGACCTTTATTCCTGTAAGCGGCCTTCACGTTGGTGTCTGATAGCCAACAACGTGTCTTCTTCTGTAAACATGCACATATTTTCTGCCAATTTTCCTTT